GCTGTTCTTGTATTGCTGCCATCAAATCTGCTAAGCTGTAGTTTGATTTGCCACCTCTCGTTTCCATCTTCTTCTTTTTTATTTTCCATCCCACTCTCTGACACCAATTTGTTACGTCTGTGTTCGTTTGTTAAATTTTACTATAAATTCTTCCCGTAAAACTTCAGCGATACAAGTCTTTTCTTAAATAAAACTAGTTTATTCTTTCTCAATTCAACTTTGCAATACACTTAATTTCCACAGTTACTTTAACTTAAACACACGCTATAATTCACAACGAACGATTCATGCACTTTACTTACTACCGCGCTTGACTCAATTGTCCGTCTCTATTTCTGCCTGTTTGCAATTATCTATCTATATATCCCGTCACTTCTCGCCGGTTTTATATATACGAAATAGAAGGCGTCTGGTAAACACTCGAGCCTTCACGAACGTTCTAGATACTCATTACCTGTTACCAGCGTCACGTGAATTATTTGTATTTAAGAAAGGACTTGTATCGCTGAAGTTCCCCAGAAAGAATTTATACAGGAAATTAACAAACGAACAGAGGCGTAACAGTAACATTCTCCTGATCTGTGCTTTTCTACCACTTTACCCCTGACTTGTTTGGAAAGCTCCTTGGTCTTCATGGTTGATTTGTCGTATCACTATGTAAGTTGTAGCTTGAACAGATGCATTTACTCTGAAGTCAAGTTAAATCACTGTGATTACACTAATTTCGTGACCTTTAAAACTAATCTTTTGCTCCTGAACTGACTTAGGGTTGCTGTAGCAAATGGGCTGAATACTTATGCAATAGATACTATTCTAATTTATTTGAAAATCTAACTTACTTACGTAATATAAGCATTCTTTTAGTTTTCTCAGTTTAGAGGAGATTGTGTAGGTTCTAAATAAAAAGTCTAATTTGAAAGTTTTATGATTGCAAGCTCAGACGGCAATAATATGTGGGTTTTTGCAGGGGGGCTGAATACTTTTGTAAGGCACTGTAGAAAAAAAAATAATAATCGAGGATCGAAGTCCCCCTAGTTTATACCTGCCGCGAACGTCTGGCAAGTTTGATCCACTTTCAGATTTGGCCTCTTCAATACACATTTTGCTTTTGATGCGTATGATTACATTTTGAAATAAGAGAAATGAAAGAATTTTTCGTTCCACCGAAATAAAAGTGTAGAGCGCTTGTTTATAATATCAAACTTTTGTGTTACGGCCTACATACCAAATGTCAATGTAAATGATCATGTAAGCATTCGACATATTGTGTATAAATTTTCTGCTATATTTCACATTGCTGAAAGTGCCCTGTCGAATCTCCTTTCAGTCTTTGAGTGCCATAGAAACTTATATGGGACAGACACACTATATAACCTTGACAAGTGTGATATCAACCATGCGTGAGTTTTGTATTTCATACCACCACAAAGAAGGTGCATTCTCATTCAAACTCTCCAAAGATGATCAGTTTCAGATAAGTAATGATTTAAATATTAAAACGGATGTAATTTGTTTTTTATCGTGTTGCTAAAAAACATGACACTGGGAGAATTGTTTAACTACAAATGTGGCAGTGAAAAAAAAAGTTAAATACTTGTTTTCATAAGTACGAACAACCTCACATGAGTTACCATTTGTTTTTACAGGAAGCTATAAAAAGTGACAACCCAATGATGTAACATAATCATCTTCAAGATTCGGATTAAAGAATCTGCTTGATCGAGGGAAAACAACTGAGAGATCACGTTTGAAGAATCTGCTTGCTCCAGGAAATACAGCCGGGATATTTTAATAAAAGGTAAATTACATTATCATAAATAAACTTGTGCATATTAAAAATTACATCGTAGATATATTATGTTAAACTTGGTAATCTTCGATATTTTGTGTGGAAATATCTTGTTTATTTTGCGCCATGGTATTATGAATATATTGTTGCGTCAGCGAGATCACGTGACTATTTTGACGCCACCTATTTTCTAG